AAAGTAGGTTCTACGCTCAAAATGAAGGCAGGCCTTAGTACACCAAAACGATGCCGGGATTGACTTGGGCTTCATAAAAGAGTTTTAGCGCAAATATATGGTGTAGCTAGGCTAAAGAGTATATGCTCAAATTATGGTAGTTTTCATATACAAAACGGTGATAGGCTTGAAAGTAAACATGGTTCTTATAATACTACACAGACGTGAATTCGTAGCAACGGCGCTCGATATTGTCAGAAACCCGAAAGTGCGTAGAAGAAATACCTTTTGATAGATATTGATGACCAATAATGCAGTATTTGTTGCGAAAGAGTAGAACTTTATTTTATACTGGCCCGATCTGGGTATCTCGCATTAGGGTTCAACAGGTATTTTGCATTTTACCAGCTTGTGTTTCTCGTCTACTTGGCCAATGATATAGTCCAGTGAGCATAAATTACTGCACTAGAGTGGCTTCACTATCCCTGAATTCTACGGTGGAACATAATTCCCGATTAGAATAATAAAAATACCCGTTGAAGTGGTGTAGATAACTTAATATGGTTAGCACAAAAGTGTCATATCATCCGTATTCTCACGTCTGTTTAATCGCTACTTATTGTTACTGCCACCCGCTATTTATGCCATTTATCAGCATGCGTTCAGAGCAACACTAGTTCTGACCATAAATGGATTGATAACTCGATTGCCAAACGAGTTACGTGTCAGGTGAAAATCTGGAAATGAACCAGAAATTTCCAAGCATTTGTCATCCAACTGCAAGAACCCAGTATAAAAAAGCGACACAATGGGTTCAGGTAGGTATTCAGCACAACACAACAATGCCAGCCAATCTTCCACGCAGAGCACTACTTGCCATCACCAGCTATAACGAGCCCTTCTACGCCAATGGCAGCAAGACTGGGCTCTTCTATACGGAAGCGTTGCATCCATACGAAGCACTGGTCGAGGCCGGGTTCGAGGTCGACTTCGCCTCCGAGACTGGCACTTACGGAGTGGACGAGCACTCCTTGTCGAAAGACTTTCTCACCGAGGATGACCAAAAAGTGCTAGACGATCCAGAGCATCCTTTCAATGTCAAACTGAACTCACAGCTTCGCAAGGCGGCGGACCTCAACCCTGCCGACTATGGCCTATTCTTTGCTTCTGCCGGCCACGCGACCTTGTGGGATTACCCTACGGCTCGTGGCCTGCAGCATATTGCCGAGGACATATACAAGCGTGGAGGGGTTGTTTCAGCCGTGTGCCATGGGCCAGCCATTCTCCCTGGCATCATTGACAGCACCACAGGCAAATCCATCATCGCTGGCAAGAAGGTCACCGGGTTCACCACCGAGGGTGAGGTGATGTTGAGCCTGCTTGACATTATCAAGTCAGCCAATGTGGCTACAATCGAGGAAGGAGCGGCTGCTGTTGGGGCCGAGTACGTGGCACCACCTACTCCATTTGCCGACTTCACGCAAACTGACGGCCGAGTTGTCACCGGAGCTAACCCAGCAAGCGCAAGATCCACCGCCGAGGATGCCATCAAGGTGTTCTCAAGTCTCTAGAGGGCTATATCAGTGTATAAAGTAGATAGACATTCAATAAACTCTTGTACTTGTTCAGTATCAATTCTAACTCGGAATACTGCAATACATTTGAGCTTCAACCATGATGAACGATTTATTGCATCTGACGATGGTAAATCTATTGAATGCCATAGAGTGCCGAAAAGAAATAACACCTCTGGCTTATTGCAGCATTGTACTTCTGTATTTTCTCCGGTGGGGGTTAACATAATGGGATCTACTTCCCAATTCGAGCTAATAACCAACTTACGCGCGTAAAATTTCGACAAATGTCGAACTAAACTCTTTGGCTGTTAATCTTATACTCATAAACAAAATTTTAAAAAACTTTCGAGCGCAAATATTTTTTTAAATCCAAATTTAACCCAAAAACCAACTTACGCGCGGAAATTTTGGACAAATGTTGTAATAAACTCTTTGGTTGCCGATCCTATACTTATAAACAAAAATATTTTTAAAGCGTAAATATATCTTTTTAATCTTGAACGCATATTCTTAGGACTTGCTGATCACGTTCTATGTACTTGTTCTGCCAAGACCATGTAGAAGTATAACTACCACTCTTATATTCAACAAATCACCAAGTTAAAACCACGCATTCTACTTGATTGCCTATCCATTTTCAGTATCTCCAGAACTCTTACAACATTATCAAGAGTGATTGATCAGCAGTGTGCACTTCTGAGGTGCTCAATCAGTAGCACATGAAGTGATTGGAAATGGCTAGCTTTAATATAAAACATAGCATACTCCCACACTCAATGAAGTTCTTCTCCTGAAAGATCTTGTTTATCTGACTTGCATTACTAGTATTTGGCCATGAGAACATTATAACTCTACTTCTCTTAGTCTTTCCTTATGCATTAGGCCCTCTTATACCTTGCCTGACATATTTGCTTATTAAAATGCGTTGAAAATACTCCTCTTGCAATACTTTGAATATGAGCGGCTTGGTGGCTTATCTGGTTAGTTGCTTAAGCTACATATTGCACTAACAACCGCTCACATTGAACCATCTCAATGTGATGTCTCTAAACCAACTCCTCCAGCGTATAGATGCCTATGTTACTTCTATCCGTCTATACTCTTTTAGCATGTTGGTCAATGTGCCTAGATTAGCTCATCCATATAATCAACATATACTGATGTTAACCATCGGTGAAGAACCATTACTTGCTTTTCTTCATAAGAGGGCAAAAATTTTACTTCGTTTGCAAATATTACATGTTTCGCAGAGAGGGGTGAAATTCCTTTTATTTCTGTGAATAATACTACAGATTTGCGTACAGCTGAAATGGTATCATTAAACCTTGATACTCAAGAAAGACAGAAATAAAAGGCTGATAAGATTTTGCCTGAGGTTCTGGTTGGACACAATTAGAGCCCAAAACATTTGCGAGGCGCATGGGACTTGAACCCACAATCCCCAGATCCGAAGTCTGATGCCTTATCCATTAGACCATGTTACAATAGTCTGTACAGAGTAAGAGTCACTCGATGTAGTGACATCAACGCATACAAGACGATAGTACAGAAAAGCAATCAAAGACAAATCACAGATCACAACAAGTATAAATACAAACAAGTAATAAAAAAAGATTGTATAGCAGAAACGTAGTAGAAGAATATATGAATATATTACAAAGTCACACTAACTTAAGAATATCTACATACTGTCGAATACAAGATAACATATAGTATCCTTTCGTACTCTCTAAAGACATACTTAAGTAGTAACAAACGACAGAACATCAGATGATCAGACATATATATGTCACTGTGTGATGATGTTTCAATATATGCTCACTGTTGGGCAAACTTGAGACAATAGTCTATGCAAGCAATCGGGAATTGTGTTAAAAGCAGGTCCAGCGCTAAAAATAAAGACAGACCTTGTTATACCAGCAAAGTGGGAGAACCGGACTTGAATATCATAACACTCATGTGTCGTGGTTAGGTCATCAGCATCTTCAAACCATCACAGTCGGAGACCTACCCCAGAACCATCCGTCGATTATTACTAAAATTAGGCAAATGACACTAAGACATGCATATAGCGAATGTAGCTCACAAAAGTATAAATTAGCAAACACGTTAGAAAATAAACCAGCTTTTTTCCTTCCATCCGACCTTGACCATTGAACCCCAATTCCTGGCTAGTATCCTTGGTAGTACATACTACGACAGTGGTAGCAGCGACTTAACAAAAACCCCAAGATAACTATACCTTACCATGAGTGAGAACGAAATTGTACAGCAGTTACTTAACACCCAGAACCTTATATTAGAACATCTTACAAGAACCAATTCAACAAGACATCCCAAGGTCAGGTTATCCACCCCAGATGTGTATCGTGGACAGAGAGTGGCACATGAGATCGAAGCATGGTTATTTGCAGTAGACCGATTACGGTGAAGCTATACAATTAACACCAGCACAGAAGGTTAATTATGCTATATCATTGCTACGGGATGATGCAGCTATATGGTGGAGATGTGAACACCCAATGGAACCACAGGAGGCCTGGGAATGTTTCAAAACAAAGTTATATGCAGAATTCAAGCCGTCAAATTACTTGCAACTGGCTCGGGATACGTTAGCCACTATGCAACAAATAGCCTCGGTTGCCAACTATGTCACTGAATTCAGGAACATCATCCTACAGATTCCAACAATAACAGAAGATGAGAAACTTGATTGATTTGTACGTGGACTGAAACCACGTACTGAAGTAGAAGTCAAGCGAGACATGAGTCGTAGTATGTACTACCAAGGATACTAGCCAGGAATTGGGGTTCAGTAGTCAAGGTAGGAAGGAAGGAAAAACTGCTTTATTTTCTAATGTATATGCTAATTTATATCTTTGTGAGCTACATTCGCTACATACAGGTCTTAGTGCCATTTGCCTAATTTTAGTAATAGTCGACGGATGGTTCTAGGGTAGGTCTCCGACTGTGATGGTTTGAGGATGTTGATGACCTAACCACGACACAATGTTACAGGGTAAAGTATACCAGTAGGATATGTGGTAGGCACTCCGTAGAGGATAATCAGCTGTACTGATAAAAGACCAATCATGCCGATCTGCACCCAAATAGAGTTACTCGGACAAAAACCCTATCTGTCACTAATTTATCACCAAAACCTAATTTGGCACACAGTATATAAAGCACACCGTGAATAACTATTGCAGACAGACGCGTACACGAATAAAGTATCTTCTCCCTTGCATCCTGGATCAACTCTTACTCTCACCGGAATCTCCAGAGATTTACCGTTCAGCTGGGATTTCCCTCTACGAGTGTAACAACAATAAGCCACTCTTAAGCTTGCCTTCCAAACCACCAAAATATCAATTCAATCTGCTCTTTAAGTTTTAGTAAGGTCCAGGTCTTATGCTTTGAAAATGATAAACCTCTAGAATCCATATAAACTCCAAGTATTGTAGACCAACTCAAACTACGTGATCTTGCACATTCTACTTGTACTCCATATTGAGTTTGTTAACATCCTAATGTAACTACATTAAATGGATCAGGTGTAGTCTAGGAATGCTATATGTGCACAGCATTTGTAGTCCGGCCTGTGCTTAACCGTTCATTATATAGCGTGCACAACATTCTGACAAAGTAATTGCCACCATCCAACAATTTCAGAGAACCAACCTCATCCCAATTATGCCTGGATGTTTGTCAAAGCCCGGTCTGTCAGAACTTACCGCTGTTTTTGAGCTCTTTGAGAATACAAACCCCTTTTGAAAGGTTTAATCCAAGCCACTGAATGCTAAAAACACGATGAAAGTGGTTTTGGTACTCATTTCTTCAAGAGATTTATCTTTCCTACTTTTCGTTATATTCATAAGCAAAGCAATTTTGATGAGTTTTTGGCTGGCCAATTCAATGAGACACTTTTTCGCACCCGTTTTGTTCATACTGACATCTATAGCGAAGCCGTCATAAGAATTTACTTTATATGGTGGCACTGCTGGTATGTAAAAACATAGAGCAGAGGAATATCCATTTCAAATTACAACTCCCGAACAATGGCCTAGGCTGGTTAAACGTACTCACTCCGGACAAAGATCTGTTGATCATTATCTTCGAATACGAATCTTTATTTGGTTTTCTTCGGTGAGATCATGATATCATATCTTCTACAAGAACTACACTTTTGATAGAGAATCGATGAGATCCATCATTTTACCATGTATATCGCTATAAACATTCTCAGTAAACAAAGAGGTGAAAACAAACTCGCAGAGCTATTGCTGAGCGTTAGGGCAGGACTGGTATTTCATGAAGGTTACAAAATATTCACGAGGCGCATGGGACTCGAACCCACAATCCCCAGATCCGAAGTCTGATGCCTTATCCATTAGGCCAACGCCCCAGTTGCAAACCATCGATGCACTCTTAAACCTGACCAGAATGTGCAGGTGATCGAAACACATATAGGTATGTTGGCCCATAATCTCGCCTGCATGAATGCTAAAAGATGGAAATTTATAACTGCAAGTAAAACAAGAAGTGAGCTAAAAGCAGGTTCTACGCTCAAAATGAAGGAAGGTCTTGGTACACCAAAACGATGCCGGGATTGACTTGGGTTTCATAACAAAATTTTAGCGCAAATATATGGAGTAGCGAGGCTCAAGAGTACATGCTCAAATCAAAGCCAAAGCTGTATGGTAATGATCATATACTAAACGGTGGTGAGCTTGAAAATAAATGTGGGTCTTGTAATATCACATAGGTCTTAATTCCTAGCAACAGCGCTCGATAGTGTTAGAAACCCGAAAGTGCGTAGAAGAAATACCTTTTGATGGATGTTGATGACCAATAATGCTGCATTTGTTGCGAAAGGGTGGAATTCTATTTTATACTGGCCCGATCTGGGTATCTCGCACTCAGGTTCAACAGGTATTTTGCATTTTACCAGCTTGTGTTTCTCGTCTACTTGGCCAATGATATAGTCCAGTGAGCATAAATTACTGCACTAGAGTGGCTTCACTATCCCTGAATTCTACGGTGGAACATAATTCCCGATTAGATAATAAAAATACCCGTTGAAGTGGTGTAGATAACTTAATATGGTTAGCACAAAAGTGTCATATCATCCGTATTCTCACGTCTGTTTAATCGCTACTTATTGTTACTGCCACCCGCTATTTATGCCATTTATCAGCATGCGTTCAGAGCAACACTCATCCTGACTATAAATGGATTGATAACTCGATTGCCAAATGAGTTACGCGTCAGGTGAAAATCTTGAAATTAACCAGAAATTTCCAAGCATTTGTCATCCAACTGCAAGAACCCAGTATAAAAAAAGCGACACAATGGGTTCAGGTTGGTATTCAGCACAACACAACAATGCCAGCCAATCTTCCACGCAGAGCACTACTTGCCATCACCAGCTATAACGAGCCCTTCTACGCCAATGGCAGCAAGACTGGACTCTTCTATACGGAAGCGTTGCATCCATACGAAGCACTGGTCGAGGCCGGGTTCGAGGTCGACTTCGCCTCCGAGACTGGCACTTACGGAGTGGATGAGCACTCCTTGTCGAAAGACTTTCTCACCGAGGATGACCAAAAAGTGCTAGACGATCCAGAGCATCCTTTCAATGTCAAACTGAACTCACAGCTTCGCAAGGCGGCGGACCTCAACCCTGCCGACTATGGCCTATTCTTTGCTTCTGCCGGGCACGCGACCCTGTGGGATTACCCTACGGCTCGTGGCCTGCAGCATATTGCCGAGGACATATACAAGCGTGGAGGGGTTGTTTCAGCCGTGTGCCATGGGCCAGCCATTCTCCCTGGCATCATTGACAGCACCACAGGCAAATCCATCATCGCTGGCAAGAAGGTCACCGGGTTCACCACCGAGGGTGAGGTGATGTTGAGCCTGCTTGACATTATCAAGTCAGCCAATGTGGCTACAATCGAAGAAGGAGCGGCTGCCGTTGGGGCCGAGTACGTGGCACCTCCTACTCCATTTGCCGACTTCACGCAAACTGACGGCCGAGTTGTCACCGGAGCTAACCCAGCAAGCGCAAGATCCACCGCCGAGGATGCCATCAAGGTGTTCTCGAGCCTCTAGAGGGCTATATCAGTGTATAAAGTAGATAGACATTCAATAAACTCTTGTACTTGTTCAGTATCAATTCTAACTCGCAATACTGCAATACATTTGAGCTTCGACCATGATGAACGATTTCTTGCATCTGACAATGGTAAACCTGTTGAATGCCATAGAGTACCAAAAAGAAATAGCGGGCTACACTTCTGACCAACTGTAGCAGCATTGGACTACCGCATTTCACTGGCGAGAGTTGGAATAATGGGATGTACTGTGCTGTGCCATAGCAATGAAACCTCCTCCATGTATATGGACCAGACGCATGCTTTAACTGTAGCGTAGTAGTACTACAAAGGGTTGTTGTATACTTTTCCTCGACTCAAATCAATGAT